TGTTAATGTTATAGTTACGTTGCTTGTGTTTGTAAAGATTAGCGTTTATACACATATGTCGTTGTTGATGTCTTTGTTGTTATTTCCTGTTAAAAAATACTGAAAACAACATAAAAACGCAATTTAAATCAATGCTGAAGTCTTTGAGATTACTTTAAAAACTATAAAGTTCATTCGTAGGTAGAGTAATTAGGAGCAGCACCTTCATCGATCCATATTTGGGAATATTGTCTCTGTTGTTGTAAAAGTGGCTGATGTTGATTTTGATGTTATTGTTGTTGTTGTTTTGATGAATGTTGTTGTTGTCTTCATTTACAGAATCCGAAAAATTTTTATTTATTCGCTAATTACCTGAGATAAACCGCAAAAATAAATTCTTTCTGAGCTGGATACCATGGAGAAAAGAAATTAACATTGAAACTGTTTCGAAATATTCCAATACTAAAAACATCAACATGTAATATGCTAGTATGCCAGTTTTAAAGTAAGCAACTATTCAAACACAATATATGCAAGAAATATTATTTAAATGCTTGATTGTCTGGTCTAGCATAACAACAATCACCTTAATAGTTATACATATAAATAGTTATAAATATATATATATATATATATGTATATATTTATTTATTAATATATATATATAATACTAATTATTAATATATGCAAACCAGCAAACCTTTAGAAATAAAAAGATATGTGGTGACATGACATAGCTAAAGAGTTACGTCATCTTCGTCCTACATAGAGAATTTCGCATTTTAATAACTATTAATTCATTTACATACATATATAAAGCATATAGAAACTAAAGCATTTAATTATAATGCTTCATTTGTCGTGTGCACTATATCGCATATTATAACTGGTACTATTATTATTTTATTATTTTTATTATCACCTTACAATTTTTTTCTTTTAATAGTGTTGTCATTATTTTATAAATTTTATTGTCATTTATAAAATTATTTAAAAAAAAACTCAGAATTTGTAAACATTAGCCCGAAACAGAAAGCAAATATAACAGTTTAAATAAACAAAAGAATAATAAAATTTTAAATTTTAAAACTGTTCCACAATTAATTATTGTTCATCTATTATTTATATATGTGTGTGTGTGTGTGTGTGTGTGGGGTGTGTGTGTGTGTATGTGTGTGTACGTTTGAAAGTTAAGCTGTATAGAAGGCTACAAGCTGATGAATTAAGTTGTATTTTTAGACGTATGAACCGTAAATATATAAGACTTCAAACATACACACGCACGCACGCCACACACACAGAACATGATATATATATATATATATATATAATATATACATATAGTAATAATTTTATATATTGTATAAATATATACAATTAACAACATTGTATGAATTATTTAAATCCAGCTGTTGAAGTTATCAGGACTTCATATCAGAACGAACAACTCGCTAGATGCCAATAACATTTTCATTCACCAGGTAAACAATTTACTTTTTTAAAAGAGTGTTTTTGTTTTTAAATCTGTTCACACAAAAATCAAAGTTTAAACCAAAGTTCTGAAAAAATTACAAAAAGTATTTGAAACATCAAGTCATACAGAAAATATGCTTTGATTAACAAAAAAGTTATACTTTAACAATATTTTTTTATTTGCATAAAAATAGAAGGTTAATCCAGCCAACTTTTGATCGAACTGTCGATTATTCGGGTTACCGGTTAGTGGGACCATGAGTTCACCGAGCAAGAACAAACTCTGTGCCCAAATCATTGGGAACGCAATCAAATCCTATTCTTAAAGTTAAACTTAGTTTGCTTAGTCGACCAATTATTAATACTTTTCATTTAAACTAAAAACAAATCTGATAAAAGTGTTGGAAACGATTTAAATATTTATTGGAAAAAATTATTAGTGCAAAATATTCTAATTTGAAATGGAAAGAATATTCTACTGTGAAAATAGTAAAAATATATGTTTTTTAAGAGTTTCAAAGTTTTTAAAGTAGCGTTCAATGAATTTTCATTTGCAAAATTCAATTAACTCCTGATGTAGCTTCACAAAGGGCACATTTCAAATGGAAGCATTCGAGATCATTCCATTGATAGGTGTTTGTAGCGAAGGCAATACAAGATTCCAATTTTGGATACATAGATGAGCCGTCCGGTTGGAATGATTGCCAGTTCGTTTCATTGCCCAAACTCAATGACACATTTACAAAGGGCTTCCAGTAAAAAGATGTTTGAACATCAAATGGGTTTTCCCTTTGTCCACCGAACCAAATTTTACGAGCGTAGTAATCGTCGTTATAACATTGGATGTTATAGGAATCTGCAAATAATAGTAGCTACAACCAGATTTTTTCATTTATAAAGTTAAGAACAGATAAATAAATACCGATCACTGAATTCAAGAAAAAATCCACTGCGTTGATCTTTTTAAGGGTGTTGATAACAGCAGGAAACGTATTTGGTGGTGACAGACGATTGCACCAGCTCCTTGCCTGCTCCCAATTCCAAGATCCAACCTCCAATTTATAGCAGGTTTTTGATGAAGGAATGTAAGCAAATGAAAGAGGACATAACTCTGAAAAATGTTTCAATCAACGTGAAATAAAATCGAATAAATGAATTGAACGACCTGCTCTGATGAACAATGAGCATCCTTCAACAGATTGCTTAATCCAAATACTCCACTTTACAAACAGATCACATTTTCTTGTTTCGTAGAACTGGAAAGCCAAACAATCTTTTAATTTGTTACAAGCAAGACTGCACGTTGCCAAAGACACCTTCTCATAACTCTCACTTGGGGCGTCACCGAAACACTTGAATGGCAGGCTATCATCTTTTCTGTATAAACTTTCTATGAAGTTATTGCAGCTTATTTTGCTGACCATGTTAACCACTACCAAAGATAATATCAAGGGAAGGTTTTTAAAGAGAATCATTTTTACATTTAAAAATATATCTGAAGAAGTTGTATATTTTATAGCAAATACAACGTACAATTCTTACGCTTATTACTATCGACCATTTGGTATTAATCATTCTCATTTTTTGGATAATGGATAGGCAACTAATGAAACTCATGAAAGAGCAGTCAATGTTGCACATCACGATTCCACTATATTAAAAACTCATAAGGCTTCTGTCGATATAATGATGATGTTTTTAGTAACGTTCAGTCGAACAGCGCTTTTGCAAGTTTGAACAAGACTTTTTTTTATAATGTAAAACATTCAATATTATAACGAATATACACTAAATTTATTACCATATTTTTTGACTTTTCTTCAAGTAATTAGAACAAAATTGAGAGGTGCGGAAAACAAACTAAAAATATATAATAAATATGTATATCATTTGTTAAAATATTGTGTGTTTAGTGTATATATATAGAATATATTTAAATATATATACTTATAATTATATATATATATATATGTATATATATATATATATATATATATATATTCCAGGTAAATATATATATATATATATATATATATATTCCAGGTAAATATAAATATATATATATATATATATATATTATAATATCGTTTTTAAAAGCAACGATATATATATATATATATATGTATATATATATATATATATATATATATATATATATATATATGTTGGTAATAGACCATAATTTTTACAATATTCTATAAATTCTACCGAATGTTTGGCGTTAATATGTTTGTAGTTCGTTTTTTCGATTTTTCTCACTAAAGTTTTTTGGTGAACGTTTAGTTTATTAAAATTCAAAATAAACTTATTTTTCGAATTCATGCTGCAAATAAGGCCATATTTCGATTCCGAATGAATCATCGTCAGTGCTCCTTGTTGTATATATAGGGAAATATTGACTTTGTCAAGATTAACTTTGACGTTGTAAAAATTAACTTTGGTGTTGTAAAATTGAACTTTGATGCGAATTAGGTGTCAGGTT